AGTCTTCATAAGTTTTTCGGAGGACTCACCTTACTTCTGACTTTTTCCTTCTGCAAAAACTCTTCTTCGGTTTTGGAGGATTGAAAAATACCTTTTTGACAACTGGAACACTTGTACTTTTTAATTACGCCTTATATTGGAATAAAAATAGTAAAGTTTTACAATACAAAGTGTAGAAATCCCATGCGTTTTTGAAAATGCTTGGAGGTTGGAGATGTGGCATGTGAATTCTTCTCATTTCAATCTCCATCCCGGCCACTTCACTTGTGAAAACACCAACAACTTGTGATACCATTGATGACGACCGTGTCGCATTTTCTCAAAGTCGCAATAGCAAAAAAGGTACAGACTGTTGCTAGGAAAATTGCGCTTACCATTTCTTGGATTTAGAACTATCACCGATGGCATTACGACAAAGAAGTTTGCTTGGAAGATTTTTTGCTGCTCTAAAATCTTTTTCTTTATTTTGGAATAATTATCTGTCGGGACTGGCACATAAGAATGCGTACGCGCACGCCGCTCTCGCGCACTCAATCAATTCGCATTGGATGTTGCATGGATGCGTGCGCATGTAATGGCGCAGCAGCTGCTGAGCGTGCCCGTTACTTGCAAACAACGAGGGAAAAAACAAAGTAGAACAACCTTTGATGAAGTGAAGTCGACAAATGAGCCAAAGGAGTGTATATCACCACCGGGCAAGCTGGACACGTGGAAGCATGATTCTTCTAGAATTTCGATTGAAACACGTTACCTTTTCATTTTTGTATAACTTGCTGTTACCAGAAATTTATTTAGTTCTTGATCAGATATTATTTTGATCCAGAAAATCTCAATAAACAACTAAAAATAAATTGTTAGTTCAAATATCCATATTCTCACTGTCAAGGGCGTCTCACTTTTCAATAGCAACACTTTCCTAATTTCCCAGTGGAAGGATATTACCAATGCCATCAGATGTACTTCTTAGTTCCTTCCACTGGAAAGCCTTCCTAGGTCAAGGCCATGAAAAATTAGAGTTTCTTACTTTCCCAGACTCTTCTCAAAGGTTCTTTATAACACCCTTACCTCAGGAAACGAAAGAAATTGGAACTGCTGTAAGTTATAATAAGGAATGTATGTCCTTCTTTCTTCCATTACCAATTACGGGTGCAGAAAGGCTTAAAAGAAGCAAAGTTAAGCACTAATTTTGAATTTTCTCTAAGTGAGCTGAGCTATAAAATCCTGCAGATACTGCAACTAACTCATGCGCTGTTAGTGCCAACTCTTCCACTCATTCGTAAAGCTAACATTCCGGTAATAATCGCGCTCCGCTTATAGAACGTGCTCCGGTTCAAAATACTGGCGCGATTTTCCAACAAAATTGCTGGGAATTTGACAAATTTCATGTATTCCTTCAGTCCATTTACATCTCTCTTTTCATTTCCTCTAACTAGTGAGCAATTCTGATCTTCCGAACTTTCGGGAAGTATGGTCACTTAATTGTTCTCATTTGTCATTGTTCATCCTAAATGTTTGTCAATCTATGGTTTCAGGATGCTTGGCGACTTGGAAACTCTTGAAAGAGAAATAGCTTGTGGTCAGTTGCTTCAGCATTTCTCCTCTATCAGTAAACATCGTTACCTTCAGTATCGTTTTTCAGGGCTGGAAGTGATTGCAAAAGGATTGCAAGAGCGATATGAAGAGTTTCAACAAGTTCTTCCTATGGCTGCGGAAGATATAGTTACAAAATTACAAAATCTTGGCAATAAGGTCGAAGAAAAAGTCAAACAAGCTGACAGTTTCATCCGCGAAAGCAGTGGAATGGATAGTTCAGGCGAAGTAAGACATTCTTCCTAACTTTTTTCTTCTGATTGTTTCCATTTTTAGCAGGTGGAGTTAGTTTGTCATCCCTGATTGTCTTCCAGAACAAATGTTTTTGCATTCTAATGGAAGTTTATGAAGTTATTCCATGCATTCTTCAAATTTCTT